CCAGCCCATCAAGGGTAACCTCAAAAATAACTGGGCCTTTGGGGGAACAAGAGTTGCCTTGTTCTGTGAGGAGGACCCCTTCCCTGGAGCTGGGCTGAGGGGTCTGGCCAGCACAGGGGCATCTGGGAAGGCTGTAGCGTGGACAGTGCTATAATTTCAGGATAAAGCTCTGAGAATTCCGTAAGCCTGAGTGCAGGCAGAAATCCACAGAAGGCAGGGCTGCCTGAAAACAGTGGAAACCACTAGAAATGAAGAAGGAGGAGCTGATGAAAAGATCTGCCCAATTCCTAGGGCAGAAAGCAGTGCTCTCTGCAGGGTTGAAGACACTTAGGCACTGTTTCTCGCTAATGAAACCGCGCTTCCTGATTCCTTAAAGAGTTTGGTATTTCTGCTGAAATTGTGTTTATGGCTGCAATGGACAGCGTCGGGGCTGGGAGCCCAAAACCCTCTCTGGCACCTGGATCCCGGAATACGGCTGGCCAATGGCCTGCTGGCCCCTGAGCACTGCGGACTGAGCACCTCTCGGGGAAGCCCTCATTTAAAAACTGGCAGAGTAAATATTTTCTAAGAGAGAGTTCACAGGGAAACCTCACAGTCTCTTAATCGCAGGAGCATTCCTCGTGCCTAACCAACAGAATTAGAAACCAAAGCAGATTTTTCACTCTTACATAAGAGAGCACAGAACTGGGATCCAGGGGGAATGATTTTAGCAGCTGCTGCTCTGATCTTCTGCAACTCCCTTAACGTCAGGCATTTTTCTGAGCTGTAAAATAGAGAAGAGACGAAAAATGTGCTGTGCAGGTTTCCGGCCCTAGAAGCCTTGAGCGATGGTGCTCGGCCTTCGTTGGCCGGCCAGGAGAGTTTGCCCCCTGCTCTTCCCACAGACTGTTCCACAGTGCTGGGTGGGAAGGCGAGGATTGTGCTTTTGTAGCTGCCAGGCCCTGGCGCATTTGAAGTGGACTTGAAACATGAGCTTGTCAGGGAAAGGGGACAGAGGGGCAGACACTCCTCCGAACTCGGAGGCTGTCCAGGCGGGGGTTTAGAAAAGCCAGAATAAGGAGTGTCTAAGAAGACTGGAATCACTTGATCTCAGAAAATAGAAACTTCCCGAAGGCACGCAAATCGACACAAAGGTTTTTGTCTGTATGGAAGCCGCCAAGAGTGTCCTGTCTGAACCACAGGGATGGGTTATTTAGGATCTATAGAAATATATTCACTCTGAGGGGGCTGGAGAGATAGCACAGCAGGTAGGGCGTTTGCCTTGCATGCGGCTGACCTGGGTTCGATTCCCAGCATCCCATATGGTCCCTGAGCACCACCAGGAGTAATTCCTGAATGCAGAGCTAGGAGTAGTCCCTGAGCATCGCCAGGTGTGACCCAAAGAAAAGCAAAAAAAAAAAAAAATGGATATATATATACACACATATATTCACTCTATCACAAAACTTTTACAACTCACTTACTTTGTGTGTTAATATATACCCCTGAAAACATAGCTTCACACTCTTGTAAACTAACGTTACATTAATAAAAATAAACTTGAAATGAAGAAGGTAAATGATAAGTCTAAATAATAAAAATGAACAAAACAGGAATTTTATCAAAATCCTGTGAATGTTCCACCCTATCTAGTCAAGGCAAACAGCATCATGGTCTTCTGGCAGGGAATAGGGTCGAATCAGGACAAAATGCCATCTGTCCTCTGAACGCTTCCAAAGCCGCCGTTATCCAGCTTGGCACGGTGTCCTGAGCACGGGTCTCCCTGATAAATTTATCTTTAATCACTTTGGGAAGAAAGAGAGGGAAAATATCACTTTTTCATGCCCTGTGGAAATATTTGAGGATAACCATCTTGCTCAATAATTTACTCTGAGATAAGATAAACCTAGGAGGAACTTAGAGATAACGCAGCATAGGGCGCCAGCCTCGGGGTGGCAGTGAGCAGAGTGGGGGGGGGGGGGAACCTTTCCAGCACCACCTTGGGAGGAAATTCCTGCCCATGTGGTTTCCCCACCTGAGTGGGGAAGCTTTACTTTTCAGATACAATTTCAGAAGATTGAAAATTTTCCTATCAAAGCTTTAAATCCAGGATGAAAATGCTTTACATCCAAGTGTCTATATGAGTACAAAAGAATGAATGTTTGTGGGTTTTTGAAGAAAAAAAAACCCTATGTGTGTGCCTTGTCACCCACGGGCAGGGTCATCACCTCTGGCAGGCCCCTGTCTCTCCCCTAGTGCAGCCCGTCCACAGGGAGCAGGCAGAGTCCTGTTCGGGCTGGACTTCACTGTGCGGCTGCCGGGGTCTAACGTGGGTGGCTGCCTAGTGGCCCCTCAGCAGGGTCTATCAGGGTCTGTCAGGGTCAGGGTCTCAGCAGGGTCTGTCAGGGTCTGTCAGAGTCTGTCAGGGTCAGAGTCTCAGCAGGGTCTGTTAGGGTCTGTCAGGGTCAGGGTCTGTCAGGGTCAGGGTCTGTCAGGGTCTGTCAGGGTCTGACAGGGTGAGGATCTCAGCAGAGTCTGTCAGGGTCTGTCAGGGTCAGGGTCTCAGCAGGGTCTGTCAGGGTCTGTCAGGTTCTCAGCAGGGTCTATCAGGGTCTGTCAGGAGCCAGGAGGCAGCGCCCAAGAAGCCACAGAGACTCTTGGGACTGTGGGAACTGCATGTCACCTGGTTTCAGCCTCGGGATTCACGCGATCACATGCACTCTGGGAGCAAGCAGGCCTGTGCCCCTCACATGCTTCCCGCCAACACGCTCCTTCCACAGACTCCGGGGGTGGGGGGGGGCATGAACCAGCACCCTCCCCGACGGGACAGTCTCACAGCCTTCTTGGGACTTGGTTTTCTACTTGGATACTCCTGGTAACAGTGAGTATCTGGAGGCAAGAGCAACAAAATGCAAGACGAAAACGACTGCGTGAGGCCAATAAACTGTGACAATACCTGAAACAAATTATTCCTTAGATGATTGAGAATTAAATCCTACATTCTTCTCTCTGAAAAACTGATAACATTTCAATTCAATTTTTAAGAATTATTACTGAATAGACTTTCCGTTGCCAAAAAAATATTTTTAAATAATATGTAAGTAGAACTTAGTCCTATACTAAGTTTCTCCCTAGTTATGGGACTTTCTCTTCCTTTCCCTTCTCCTTCCTAAGAACTCTTTCTATTCCCAATATAATAACAATTATATCATAATTATTACTAATAATAATGATATTATATTTTTATTATTATATTTATTTTATATTATTATTGTATTACCAATAATGATATAATTGGGTTGGAGCCATAACATAGCAGGTAGGTCATTTGCCTTGCACACGGCTGACATGGCCAACCTGGGTTTGAGTCCTCCACCTCTTCAGAGAGCCTGGCAAGCTACCGAGAGTAGCTCCCTCGCATGGCAAAGCCTGGCATGCCACCCATGATGTATTCAATATGTCAAACACAGTAACAAATGTCACAACGGAGACGTCACTGGGCCCGCTGGAGCAAACCGATGAACAACGGAAGGACAATAATATAATTATACTTAATTATAATTAATCATCATTATTATAATTATTATATGTATATTTCCTTCACTTTCATGCATTTGTTTTGGTTTGGTGGTACAATATCCCCTGCACTGGGATCAGGGTCTGGGGTTTCTGGCGTGCTCAGGGGACCATGTGTGCTGGGATAGAGTCTGGGCATCCTGCCTGCTCCCACCCCACCGAGCCTTCTGTTCTTAGAATGGTGAACAGGAAAACACAGGAAAGGACAGATATATGGCGCATCATTACAAAATATTCAAGCAAACTGCAGTTGCTGAATGTGTACCTAATAATTCTTATTATATATGGATCTATTCTATTATACTACATAAACTATAAAAGGCCCTTCCGTTGTTCATCGATTTGCTCGAGCGGGCCCAGTAACGTCTCCATTGGAGACTTTTGTTGTTACTGTGTCTGGCATATCGAATACGTCACGGGGAGCTTGCCAGGCTCTGCTGTGAGGGCGAGATACTCTCGGTAGCTTGCCGAGCTCTCCGAGAGGGGCGGAGGAATCGAACTCGGGTCGGCCATGTTGGCTGCATGCAAGGCAAACGCCCTACCGCTGTGCTATCGCTCCATAACTATATGACAACATATTTTACATGTGTGTATATTGGGGTGAGAGTAAAACTTATGTAAAGAAAATATGGACTAATAATAACATTTTACCATTTAATGGCCTCTACACGCTATGCAAATATTTAGTAAAGCATCTACTGCCCAGAAATTCAGTTATTTCAACTGATGAAATTAACTTAGTTGACTTAAAAATATTGTGAAAAACGTTAAATTTCAAATGGACACATTTTCCTGGCCAGCTGTGTCATATGTTAGTTGGTTTCAAAGCTGGAGGATTGGAGGCGTCTTAAGCCCCGTTCCCTGATGGGGAGCAATTCTCAGCAGTGGCCGTGCCCAGCCCCGCGTGCAGGCAGCAAGGCTGAGGGCATGCTGGGGGGCTGTGAGGCCCAGCAGCAGTAGCCGGTCACCATCTGGCCAGCACCCTGAGCTCTGCAGCAAACCAGAGTAACCAATGCCATGGAGGAAGGGCTGGCCAGCTGGGGGGAGAGCAGGTCAGGGCCAGTCATGGTGGCTGTGCTCCTCGTCTCTCAGATAGACACGAGGGGACGGAGGCAGGGGTGTCTGTTAACTGAGAGCACCATTAACTGCAGCAGGAGGAGCTGGGTGGAAGACAAGTGACCCCGTGGCCTTGTGCTCTAGGACCCCAGCAGGGTACTGCTGGGCCCCTCGGACCTCCAGTCACGCCCTCAGAACCGGGTGGAGGCTCAGCGTATGTGATGAGGAGAGCCAAGGAAATCAGTTGGGAAATAAAAATGATAAAAAGGATTTAACTGCAAGCCCAAGTGCTACTACCGAGTTCTAGAAGAGTTTACATACTTTGTTTCATCTGTTGACTGGCAAAATAAATTTGAATTTAATACAAAAATTTTTGTGCTTCTTTTCAGATGTTGAAAACAAAGACACTCCCGCATTATTATCACCAAATCCTACAACAAAAGCATCTGAACCGACGTCAGCCTCAACATCACCACTGAATCTTGACGTGAAAGCGACAACTGAGACGGTTTCTGATGGTAGGGACAGCTCTAGTGATAGTTACCACATGTCAACCAATAACATCAGTATTCCCTAATATTCCCTTTATAATTCAACCACAGGAAAAATCGTTTGGGTTCTTGTATATGTTGTTACAAATATCTGTGGATTTTCACTAGTTTGAAAACTGCATGTGTGTTTGGGTTGACCCAGAACCCTCCACCTTCGTGGAATCCCCTGAAGATTTCCCTTGGGACTTTTCCTTTCAAAACTGACCCAACTGCAAATGTCATACATGGACATGAAGTATATTTAGAGAAGAAAGAATATAAACTTTCTAAATTAAAAAGTTGTCTCTAACTATTCTAGTTTTTCATTTAAGTAGTCTAGATAACAAGCTGAAAGTACTAAATGCAGACAGGCTATGCTCATTGCATTGGACTGATGTTGGATTTAATTTCCAGCTTTAAATAACAATGTCATCATTTCTGTTGCTAGACCTAATGACAATGATTGGACACTGTTTTATACCACTGGGTCTTAAGGGGGATTACTTTGCCATGCCAGGAAAGCAAGATGAGTCACTAGGATCACTTAACTAAAAACCCAAGATTATTTATCTAAAGTATCTTGCATCATTCATCCTGCAATGGAAAGGAACATTTCAATCATTTGTTGATTGCCAGTGGGCAGAAATTCTACAAAGTTAATGTCATAGAAAAACATGAAAAGAATACACCTAGTGCTCTATCCTCAACTCTGTTCTTCACTTAACTCTGTACTCATCGAGCCAGCCACAGGTAGACACACACCAAAGGGAGTTCATCCAGCTTGAATTAGAAGGGAGTTATGAAACCAGGCCCTTATTTCTGAAATGTTGCCACCTAAGAAGGAAACCAAGGCAATTCTGAGAAGTCTCCACCTAGTGAAGGAAGCATGAGGCAGTTTTTCAGCGTATGCTACCAAACCCGCCTCAGTGAGGGGCCTGTGCCAGCCGCGTCCTACTTACTGGGTGTACAGTTGTATTTTCTCCACAGTGTTCCCGGGCCGTAAGCAGAGGCATTCTGAAAACTCAAGTTCTCCTCTCCTTTTCTTTCCCCCAACCTCATCTCTCTCTTTCGTTCTTGGCCCAAAATTATACTGTTTTGGGGAAAGCAGAATATTTCTGCAGTCAGAGAAAATAAGTGCTGATGTTACTTATTTTGGATGTTACTTTTTGGATGTTACTTAGGTTGGATGGCCACAGTTTATGTGATGAAACTTATGCTTCTTCTGTGTGAAGATTCCTAGCTCTGCTTATCATGGTCTATAGTGAATTATGTCCAAACCCTGACCACTGTGTTAAGAGACCATAGGAGAGGGGCTGGAGCAATAGCACAGTGGGTAGGGCATTTGCCTTGCACACGGCTGACCCGTGTTCGATTCCCAGCATCCCATATGATCCCCCGAGCACTGCCAGGAGTAATTCCTGAGTGCATGAACCAGGAGTAACCCCTGAGCATCGCCAGGTGTGACGCAAAAAGCAAAAAAAAAAAAGAGAGAGAGAGAGAGAGAGAGAGAGACCATAGAACAGAAATGGGAGTTCAGTCGGGAAATTTGGGTGAAATTGTCATCTATGATACCAGGCATTACGTCTGCTCTTTCTAAATTAAAGGAAAATGAGGCCTTGCTCATATGAGGTATAACTGGGGAAATTTCTCCAGTGACAGTCACTGGGGTTCCCCAGAATGGAATCGGAAGCACCCTTCTCTAGAGCAAGTACCTGTGATACCCCCCCAACAACACACACACACACACATACACACACTACTCTTAATTAATATTCAGGGAACTTTTACTGCTTTATTCTTTCCAAGTCATAAAAAACTCCAGTTCATGTTCTTCAAAGATTCTCCAGATGAGTTTAAAATACTCACTATCAAATAGAAAAGGCATAATAAGCCAGAAAGTCTTTTCTTTCCATTATTACTGTAATAAAAATGTTCATGTATGTGTAAAATGCAGTACTGTAGCTAATCTTCATCTCCCAGAACCAGTAACAACCAGAACTTTACCATATTTCTCTTTATTTCCTTCTTCCCATCATTTCTTTTGTCCCTTTCTTTTCTCTCTTTTCATTTGGTTGTCTATATAGAGTTCATGTCATTTATCATATCATTTATCTCTACACCAAATGTGTATCTTAAAAGATATGGAAATTTCACTATGTATCTAACAGTGGGAGAAGGAGTCAGGGTAGTAATGGGCCCAATTGGGGTGAGTGTTGGTGGGGTGACGGGGAGGAGAGGGTGATGAGAAGCACTGGTAGGATCAGAAGAACGGCAGGCCGGGGCCCCTCGATGCTGATCTGCCCAGAAAATGTAGCCCAGCCTGTGTCGGAGCCAGGAGGCCCCACAGGTCACTGGACTCATGGTGTGTGAAGCGAGAAGGGGACAGGCAATGGAGGAAGCGAGAGAAAGCCAGGTGTCCTCAGCCACCTTGACTTGCCATTGTGTGTGCGAGTGTGATTCGGTCTGTACACGGGACAGTGGCCGTGCTCCTGTAGGCGAGACAAATAATACACAGATGAGGAAAGCAATGCAAAATTCCTCTTCCATTGTCACATTTGAAGAAGTGTCCCAGGAGGGATGAAATGGTTTCTAGCTGCCCTCCAAGTAGGGGCTAAAGTTTAGGGGAGGTTGATGTTGTCTCACTCTGGAAAATATGCATTTTCACATCTGCCAGGATATCACAAAAGGCATATCTATAATCAAATATCTCCCATTCTTCTTCCTCGTGGTAACACAGTTGTTCTCGACACAGTAGAACCACTTGTGTCCCACCTTCAGCCCAGCACAATGTGGAAAACTTTCTTTTCATTTTAAGGGTATAGCCAAATTTTCTGGGTTAAAGGTCAAAAGACACTTGATTTAATAGTCCTCAAAGTATACCAATTGTTTTACACCCGACGGTGTCAGAAATTCTGACATTAGAAAAGCAGATAATGTGTAGCTGAGCTTGGGGATTCTGTGGACAGTCCCATGTGGAGGATGGCTGAGTCCTGCTCTCAGGAGTGCCCGAATTACTTCCTGACTGTGTGTCAGTGTGTCAGATGCACTCTCTCTCTCTCTTTTTTTTTAACTGATTGACAAGAAGTTATCACATTTATTTCTATTTATTTATTTTTTAATTTTTATTAGTGAGACACCATGAGGTACAGTTGTAGACTTACAAATTTTTGTGCTTGGGTTTCAATTATACAATGATCAAATACCCAAGCCTCCACCAGTGCCCATTTCCCACCACCACGGATCCCAGTATCCCTCCCACCCCCCATACCCCCCATGCCACCCTGCCTCTGTGGCAGGGCATTCCCTTTTGTTCTCTCTCTCCTCTTGGGTGTTGTGGTTTGCAAAGGAGGCATTGAGTGGCAATCATGTTTGGTCTATAGTCTACTTTCAGCATGCTTCTCCCATCCTGGGAGGATCCTCTCAACATCCTTTATTTGAGCCCTTCTCTATCTGAGCTCCCTTTTCCCCTAGCATGTGTAGACGCACTCTCTTTTTCCTTCAAAAGTCCAATGGTTACACCTGCAGACTTTTGGCAGACACTGAATGTCATCATAAAATAAACTTCTAAGAGAGAAACACCAAAAACTTCAGCCAAAGAGATCAACAAAATGAAGCGTAATTTTGTGGAAAAATTCTACAGCTAGGTCTTATTTACAGATCACAGTACTTTGTCTACTGGAAAATAAAACTATTTAAATTAGTAATTTAAAAATATTCTTGCATGTTTTAAGATACCAAGGTAGCAATCTTTAAAGTGAAAATTTTCTCTGGACCTACAATACAAAAATGTGTGTGTCCTATGCATGTGTGTGTGTGTGTGTGTGTGCACACGCGCGCGTGTTTTTATTGGACCACCTAAGCAGTCAACACTTAACACTTATATTCTTCATTTTTGATAAAACAGTCTGGAAAATAGAATTAGACAAAGCTTGCCCAGTATAACTCTATAGAGAAATACTAATCTAACTTTGGATTTGACTTTTATTGATTCACGGCAGGTAATTAATAAATAATAATGCATCTATCTTATCAACTAGGAACCACCACCACAAAACCCTCAAACGAGTCTCAACAGCCAACAGATCAGTTGTTAAATGCAACAGCTAAAGTGGAAGGTGAGTAATGATTCATTTGCCACCATTTTTCCATATATATATGTTTCATATGCCAAACAGTCACACATATAATATTTCAGTTTTACTACATTCATATAACTGTAAAATTATTACCATTATCTAATTCCACCACATTTTCATCAATTCTAAATGAAACACTACCTGTTGCCAATAACTCCCAATTTTTCCCTTCCCTCAGACCCTGGGAGTCACTAACCTACTTTTTAACTATAGATTTGCCTATTAAAGAAAACTTACACAAATAAAGTCATATATGACCTTGCATGTCTGGCTTCTTTTGCTTGGCACACTATAGTCAGGTTCATCCATACCCTAGCATATATCTGAGTCCTTTTTCATGAAAAGTCTCCCTCTTTTTTTGGGGGGGGGGGGGCTGCTTCTGCTCCGGGCGAGCATACACACTGCTTGCTTGAATAGTCAAGCCCACATTTCTGTACGGCAGCTGTTCTCATTGCTCCTGGGCACACGCATACACCTTGGAGCTAACTGCCAAGTCACTGGTCTCTATGACTTTTTGAAGAAACCAGTTTTCAAAGCTGCTGCCTATGGTTCATTCCCACCTGAATCGCGTGAAGAAAATGCACCAGCAACCCTCCCTACCCAGTACTTGTCTTTTTCACTAGGGCCTTTCTTGTTAGTATGAGACGGTATCTCATGGTGTTGCGATTTGCATCTCCCTGCTGATGAATGATGTTGGGTGATTCTTCATGTCCTCAGTGACCATTAGGACATCATCTATTAAAACCCCTGTCCAGAACTTGGGGGTGTTTTTTTTACAGCACAGCTGTAAGTTCTGTGTATGTTGTGGAGACTACACCCCATTGGAGAAATGATCTGCAAATGTTCCCTCCCATTCAGTCATCTTTTCATTGTCTTGCAAGATTGTTTTCCTTTGTTGTTGTTGTTTGGAGACACATCCAGCGGTGCTCAGGGGTCACTCTCCTGACTCTGTATCAGGGTCACTTCTGGTGGAATTCGAGGGACCATATGGGACACTGGGCATTGAGTCTGGGTTGGCTCCATGCAAGGCAGACGCCAGCGCCTGATCTGCTCTGCTATCACTCCGGCCCATTTCCTTCTTTGAAGTTTCAGTCACTTCTCGGCGAGAGTCCAGAATCTACTCTCTGTGATCCCAAAGATATTTGTTCAACATTCCCTAAGACATAAAGGCTATGATTCTCGCATGGTAATAAATGTCACCAGGCTCTTCTCAGCTAAGTCCAGAATTTGAACATTCCAGTAGCACTAGTAAAAGTTGAAAATCTATAGTGTAATATACAGTATAATCCAGCTCTATACTTTTCATTCTACTCACTTCAGGTCCACCATGTACATCTTTAAATATTTGTATTTCCTCCAAGACACCAATGGTCCCTCTGTTGCCTAACTGACAGACTGTCCTGAATAAACGTTGCTCTAATTCTGCCCTCATCTGTGCGGTATAGCCCACATTCATATTAGATTTATTTCTCATTAGAGAATTAATTAAAGGCAATGCTCCAGTTGAGGCTCTGGCCCTGCGTCCTCAGCTCTTCCGTGACTCTGCTCTGCTGCCTGTAGTCTCTCTAATCCGCCTCCCACACCTCTATCAACACTTACTCCTCTCCTGCCAGGCTTGTGGAGTCGGCTTCATTGGCAGGGGTTCTTGGGGCCGCCAGGATTATCTGCTGTGGTTTCCAATTTTGGTTTAGCACGGGATTTTCCAAAGATCTCCACAGAGGAAACCTTATTCTGTGTTTTAAACTTCTTGGGGTTCTGTCACCAAAGTCTTTCCCTGCACACTTGCCTCTGTCCTCAAAGGTCGAGTCTCTCCCCTTGGGTGACCTTTGTCCTTCCTGCCATCACAAGCTTCAACCCAGCTTTCCTGCTACAATACAACACCCCCGTGCTCCTGAAGTATGTCCCCTCAGTCTCACACGTCACTGTGTCTCGTTTGTGCCCATTTGTGCCCATCCCCTGTCACCGTTAGTGTCTGTGCTGCCCCTGCATTATGATTGGTTTCACTTTCTCTTTGTTTGCCGGTTCCGGAGGGGTTTGGACTAACAACGCACCGTCTGTTCCTCCAGCCTGAGATCACCTGTGGCACTGGGACCTAGAGCAGCCACATAGAACATCTAGTGTCCCACCATTTTCTTTGATATGATTGCATGGACCACCTAACATAAGGCCTCCAATTCTGGACATACAAATACTAATAAGATCTCAGTAACTAATTATCAAGTTGCGAGGGGATGTTAAGACTAATCAGACTAGCTAATGATGACTGTTCACTCTTCTCACGTAATAGGAGCCACAACCAAAGACGCCCCGAAGGATCAGATAACTCCAACAGCAACAGAACTGACACCCACATCCACTGATTCCACAGTACCCAGCACACACCCTAAGAGTAAGTACAAGGGCCTGTGTGAATGGTAGCCCGTCGTGTTGGACAGAACAAGTCTCCTGTTTCTCCAGCCCACAGCCCTCAGAAACCGTGTTCGACCAATATTTTCTCCCCATCTCCACCATCAGGGGCAGTGGTTTGGCAGCTTGGCTCTATACAGATGATATAGTCTCAAATGGCTAGGTACCAAGGACGATTGGCTTAAGGCTGAGAAGTAATCTATGATATCCACTGCTGCAAAAAATGGAAGCTTGGTCTTAAATGAAATGAGAAAATTCCTAGAAAATTCTAGACTTCTAAAACTTGACTCAAGAAGAAAGTCTAAAAAGACCAAAACAATTAAAAGCACTGCATTCGAGTATTTAAATGAAAAAAAAAAAAGTGCCATGGCTTCAATTATGAATTCTACCTAATATTTTCAAAAGATACATAGCAATTCTTCTCAAACTCAAGATCTAGAAGAGAAAAAAATATATACAAATAAATATCTATGCCCCGAATTACCATAATTTCCAAACTAAAGATAAAAAAGCAAATATCCTTCAAGAACACAGACACAAATAACCTTTAAAAATTAGCAAACCAAATGAAACGACATATCGAAGTGAGGATGAATCTAGGGATGCAATTTCAGCGGGAGAGTACGTGCCTGTGTGTGAGTGTCGAGCTCAGCTTCCAGCACTGATGGCCCCAGTAACTGCCAGATGTCACCCTCCTAGCTCTGAGCTTGTCCCTTACAGCAACAGATACAGGAGCCTAAAGTGGGGAGGAAATGCGGAATAGGTTTGCCCTGGGGAGAAAGAAATACAGTATAGGTTTACCCCTGGGGAGGGGAGGGAGGAAGAGTAGGATCTGAGCCACACAGGAACACTCAGGGCTCTGTGCTGAGGGGTCACTCCTCGAGGTGCTCAGGGTCCGAGGGTCTAACCAGGCTCAGCGTGTGCAAAGGCAGGCACCTTAATCCATGGACTGTCTCTCCCGTCCCATCGTTTAAGACGCTCAGTGTAGCATATAATGTTGTAGAATTAGTAGATGCGGAGAAGAATTTGACAAAATATACCATGCACTCATCATTTCAATTTTTGATGAACTAGAACTAAAATGAAGCTTCCTTAAACTGATAAAGGACAGCTAAGGAAAACTGATGGCAAACGTCATACTTAATGCTTGCCTTTAAGTTTTGGAGCACAGAAAAGATGTCCATTCTTATCACTTGATTTGAAATTATGCCTAGAGACTCTAGATGGTAAGAAGGTTAGGAAGGGGGGGAGGGAGAGAGAGAGTGAGAAAGAGAGAGAGAGAGAGCAAAAAGAGAGCACAGCACACCATTCATACAGAATCACACATTTTTAAAGAAGACTACCACATCTGATAGAAAATTCAAAGGATGCATAATAAGAGTATTTTATATCACACGGTTCCAGATAAACAAAAAAAAAATGTTGCTTTAGTAATGGCAATTCAAAAGTAGTCTTAAGTGAAATGAGAAAATTCCTAGAAAATTCTAGACTTCTAAAACTTGACTCAAGAAGAAAGTCTAAAAAGACCAAAACAATTGGTTTTTTTTTTTTTTGTACAGGGCACTTGTGTTACACACAGTTAGCCTGGTTCAGTCTGCAGCACCACAAATGACCCCTGAGCCCAGGATTAAACCCGAAGCACCATCCAGTGTGCCCCCAAACAGAGCACTCCTTTCACAACAGCATTAGAAAGAATAAAATTAAGGAATAAACTTAACAACATAAGTGCAAAATTTGTCTGCCAAATTACAAGGCATTTCAGAGATAAACATGAATAGATATTACATATTCATGGCTTGGAGACTCGGTATTTAAGGTGGCAGTTATCAGGTTTATTAACAGTTTACTAGTATATTCAATGTAAAACTTATCTGAATCCTGACAAGCATTTGCTTTTTAAAGAAACTGACAGGCTCATGCAAAAAATTATTATGGACATTTTGGAACTTAGAATAACCAAAACATTTACCACTGAAAACAAAGAACAAAGTTGAGGAACTTAGACAAGTTAATTTCAAAATTACTCTAAAGCTATCTTTATCTGAAGAATTTCAATAGGAATTAATAGTGTTACTGACACAGCCTGACTGTTAATAGCTGCATCATTCTGAACAAACACTAGAAACAATTCCAAGGTCCTTGGCTGGTAAGATGAAATATTTTATTGGATTTTTCTTTTGGGACAGATTTGAATTATTCCAAAACATGGGATAGTCATATAAGGGGACACTGCTTTAAATTTTCAAAATTTAGCATAGGGAAAACCTATTGATACATTAGGGTAATAGAATGAACATCCCTTCACAAATCACGCCTATTAAAGAAGCCATTCACAAAACGTGACATATTGTATGATTGCATTTATGTGAAAGACTCAGAAAGGACACTTACACAGGTACAGAAAGCAGATTAGCTGCTGCCCGTGGACGGAGTGGGTGTGGAGACGGAAATGCTTTTGTATTGAGGAAAATGTCCTAGAGCTGCATGATAGTGTTGGACACACAATCCCCTAAACTGAGTTGTATACTTTAAAGAAGTGGATTCAATATTGGACTTCTTTATAAAGCTTGTTTGTGAATAAAAGGAAATAAACTGTTGAACTAGGCCAATCAAATATCCTACCTGGGTAACTGACCTAAAACATTCAGAGTAACGATGGGCTATTTGGATGAAGCAGAAGAACTCAGGGGAGGGAGGCAGAGGGAGGGGGAGAGAGGGAGAGGGAGAAGGAGGGAGAGAGAGAGAGAGAGAGAGAGAGAGAAAGAGAGAGAGAAAGAGAGAGAGAGGAAAAGGAAAAGAGAGAGGAGGAGAGGAAGAGGAAAAGAGAGAGGAGGAGAGGAAGAGAGGGAGGGAGAGGAAGAAGAGAGAAAGAAAAAAGAAAGAGAGGAAGAGAGGGTAGGAGAGGGAGTGGGAGAAATAGAGAGGGGGAGGGAGAGGAAGAAGAGAGAGAAAAGGGAGAGAAAGAGGAAGAGAGAGGGAGGGAAGGAGAGGGAGGGGGAGAAAGAAAGAGGGAGAGAGAGGGAGAGAGTGAAAGAGAGGGAGAGTGAGGAGAGAGAGAGAGGGAGAAAGGGGGCAGAAAGGGAGAGAGAGAGAGGGAGAGGGAGAGGGAGAGGGGGAGGGAGAAGAGGAGGGAAGGGGGAGGGGGAGGACCATGAGCAGGGAGCACTGGTAAGCAGGGCTGGTGGAGAGGGCTGGAGGACACATTTGGGGGTAATGAAGAGATGGCAGAGAGGATTCCACTGCCCGAGAGGCAATGACCCCCTAGATTCCTGGGCGCTTCCCTGCTACAGCTCATCCCACCCACGGGGGTCGTTTCTGTTCTATCCACGTCAGTGGCCTGCTCTGTGCTTCTCAGACACACAGGCTGCATAAAGGGTGCACTCTGGGCACACCCACGGCCCTCAGTACACACCTGCCAGGCAGGAGACAGTGTGGAGGGTTGACACACTCTGCGCTTGTCTAGAATCTCAAAGGAGCAGCCTTTGATCAGAACCTTATGTGGTGTCTTAAGTAGGATGTTAACCAGGGTCCTCTAAAAGGAGCCTCTCACACTGCGATTGTACCATGATACTCTTACTGAACAAGACATTCACCAGATAGAAGACTCTGGAAAGGAGGTCTCCTTCATATGAAGAATGTTTTCTCCTGGCCGTATTTTTGACTCTGACAAGCAGAACACAATTTTGTAAACAATATGTCTGAAATGTACCTTTAGTAAACCAAACCTTCTATTCTCATAAAATAAATGAACCCAATCAAAGCCAGCACAAAACGTGAACTTTCACCTGCAAAATCTCTGGAAGTTTAAGGTTAAGCGCAAATACGCTGCTTTCATGGCCATGCAGTGATTGCAGAGAAATGAGTCCAGGACAAGGAGTTCTCAGCACGAGGTTCCACACAGCGGCATGTGAGGGCCCACGGGCGCGTCGAGAAAACCAGTTTTACTTTGATCTGTGCAGTCACATGCCCTCTGCACGTATCCTGGGGGCTACTGCATTTATTAGCTTCCAAATGCAGTCCAAAGTGACTTTTCACCTAAGCGCTGTTAAAATTACATCCCTGAAGCTATGTAAGATGAAAACACCGTGGAAAGCAAGGTAATGAATCCGGGTTTTCTGCTGCCTTTGCCTGTGTCTGGTCGATCGGCTCTGCCAGGGCCCGAGTGCCAGACTCTTATGGCACATTCCCCGGGCAGCCAGTCAGCCCTCTGTTTCCTGCCCAGCGAGGATGGCACCTGATGGACCCTGAACCCAAGAATATCCCAGCACCTTCACTTGTGCAATTCAGTCCAAGTCTCACTGGGGCCCTGGACAGCTAGGCAAACCTGCACTGAGCATCACACACACACCCCAGAGCAGATGCGGGCACTTAGAGCTCAGGCTGTGCCTCCCCGGAGCACCCCGCTTGCAGGTCTGGCTAGGAGCGTTAGCGGCCACAGACGTGAGGTGAGGTTCTGAAGACAAGTGCCACCTCAAGATAATTCTTTCTAGTCCTTTCCTATCTGATTTTCCTGTTTCACTCTTCCATTATGCCTGCACTGTACCACTATCCTCCCGTTGTTCATCAATTTGTTCAAGTGGGCACCAGTAAGGTCTCCATTGTGACACTTATTGTTACTGTTTTTGGCATATCGAACACGTCACGGGGAGCTTGCCAGGCTTTGCTGTGCGGGCGGGATACTCTCGGAAGCTTGCTGGGCTCTCCAAGAGGGACGAAGGATTCAAACCCAGGTTGTCTGTGTGCAAGGCAAACACCCTACCTGCTGTGCTATCGCTCCAGCCATTCTGCCTGAAAGAGACAAATTCCTAGAACCCTAGAATTTCAATGTCAACGTGCCCATCAATTCAGTGCTCTGAGCATGTCCAGACAATGAGGAATTTGGAGCTGGTGAATGGATGGTTTATTCACGAAGGCTCTTTGGAAGGGTGAGAGAGCCAGTGCCCCCAGCTCAGGGGAGGCAGCCGTTCTTGGCTAGCAGCGGTCACTGGGACGTCCCCTCATCTTCATGCAGACTTTCTCTGTGTCTCCTCTATTCCTGAACTCTCCTCTCCTGAAGACACGTGGCCACAGGAACCTAGGACTCTCTCAGTGGAGATACTTCCCTTCCCTCCAGCTGCAAGAGTGCAAGAGCCTGTCTAGCAAGGCCCCCCTGGAGGCAGAGACACGCATCTCTGGGGAGGGGGGTATTCATGGAACCAGCTCAGCGCAGTACACAATGTTTCCTCTGCGTGCATTTATGTCTGTCTGTGCAGGACCTCCTGGCCAGGCACCAGGGGCAATGCAAAGCACAGCCCCTCTCTGTCCATCAACTATTATTTAGTCCAATATTTATTGATCTGCTTTATCCCTATTGTACTTTTTATGAAACTATATTTAGCTTTACTTGTTCGCTATTTATGTTCTTTAACCTGTGGAGGGGTTGGTGTCAAACCCCAGATTCTCTCAAGAACCCTGTTTCTGCTAACGACTAATGACTTGTGAATGTGGCAGCTTCTCAGACTTTCCATCATTTGCTTCCTTTTGGCCCTGAGGAAGGAACAAGACAGTAGTGTGGAGGGAGATATTCAGTAGGTGCTTTTCCTGCTGGTGACTGGCCGAATCTCTACCAGCTCCATGGCAGACCAGGCGCCAGCGCAAGGTGCAGAGGCCAGACAGCCAAGTCCTCTCCTGGTGCAAGCCCCTGCGGTTGCAGGAAGGGGGTGGGAGCCCAAGCAGAAGACAGGGGAGGCTGCCGAGAGGCCACAGCTCCACTGAGGCATGCTGTGCTGACACGGAACACGCAGCATTGCAGCAACGGGAAGATCTGCTTGCAGGAGGTCGCTGAGGGAGAGTTAACGACACTTCTATGTGACAAACCCTGTCACATGTTTCCTTTCGTGCCACTTGCCGTAGTTTCTGTGGAGTTTGTGTTATTATTTGCCAGGAGAACGGCCTGCGTCCAGGGTTGTGCATCTCACAGCTTCACAGCGTTCCTGAAACCCACGGAGGCCGCCCAGGGGCCACAGGAAGGAGCTTCCTGAATGCGTGTCAAAGGGCTGGGGCCAGCCAGAAGCATGACCCTCGACTTGCTGCTTCAGACTCTAGCACCTTCATTTCCTCATCAGTAAGAGCTCTTCCAAGAGTACAACCCCTTGCAGAATTCTTGTGACAATTGAGAGAAAATATACAAAGCTTGAAAGAGTGTCTGAGAAGCAGACAATAAGTTTTAGCTATTATTATAATAACCTTGACAAAATCAGGCAAAGTCTACAGTCACTGGGAAAGGAATTCGGTTAAGAGAGGCTGCATGGCTTGACGAGGCTAAATGAAAAGGTAACGTTCAAACTCTGGTTTCTTTGTTTGGTTTTGGCACTTGCTCCAGCCCCATGTCCCTTCCCTTATCATGCACATTAAATCATGTGGCTTAAATCAGCTAACGGGATGAAGGCACAACTAGCTTTCAGTTGTGCCTGTCATACAGGTACAAGTTGGTGTTCAGCGAGTAAGACCAGGCTGCCAAGGGGCCAGCTGAGTTCAGTGCATGATTCTAACAGTAGCCCTGCAGAAGGCCCCTCTCCCTTGACCATCAGCCAACCTGTCCCGGCTCTTTTCATCACACACTCCTCATCATGATGACCGTGGTCCTTCTTCCTTCCTCTACTGCTTATTCAAATTCTTCACATCCTTCAAGGACCTCTGGGATATTTCATGTTCCTATTTCCTATCACTTAATGAGTGCTGCCCAATTTATATATATACCATCTGCCTTAAATTGATGCACTTCTCACTTTTAAATGTGTTTGAAAAAAAAAAAAGACTGTAAGTGAAAGACCAGTTACATTTAGCATAAACAGTCTCTGTAAAAACCACTATAAGGAAAACAAACTAAATAAAATTCTAATTCGATTTTTTAGTTTGCCAAAGGCTCTGTGTTTGAGGAGGGATTAAAAAAAATCAAAATAAGTTCTGTTAGGTATTCATGACAGTTCACATCAAATCAAAAATCTGAAACAACTAACTGAAATAATCAAATGAGCGAAAAAGCGAACAAGCAAAAAATAACTTTCTCATGAGTACTGCCATCTTATTCATGACCCACCCTGTTCCCCCAGGTGACCCTTCAGACCAAGCTGCATGTCCCGCCCTGAGGAAAACAGCCGTTTATTTGATTGCTGGTCTCAGCATTCCTCTTTTCTCTGCTCTGTTTATTGGGGAATGCTGTCCTAATGTTTCTTCTGTGCTATTTAACTATTTCCAATCACTTTGTGGGGTAGGGATGAGAGAAGCCGTCAGGATCACAACTTAGCTACAAGTCACGTCTGAGCCTGAAATCACGTTGTGGTACCATGATTCTGTCACCTCTGTGGATCGGAGAAGGAAAAGGAAGACTTGAAATGGTCATAATAAATAATTATTATGAAAATGGGATATCAGATCAGATAAAGGCATGACTGGTATTTTCTTTGCACAAATGATACTCTAATACTTCACGATCTATGATTAAGTATGTATAGCTAGAAAATGTCTTTGGCAAAGTTAGTTGTGTATTGTTGCTTATGCTTACTGTTTTAAAAGCAAATTGTCAAGTTCCGCTTTGGATTCATCCGTGTTAAACTTTAGTAGTTAAGTTCATCTGAATTTCCTACTACCTCCCTTCTACAGTGAATCAAACTCAACAAACCTGCTACTATTCACCCAAACCAAGATTTGTGTCTTTGTCAAGCCTCTTAATCACAGTAGGTTAGCAGAAGTGAACCAGGAACATTTAAGAAACACATATGTCTCACGAACATCATGAATAAAAATTAAAAGTAATCACAAATATTTTCACTTTCCTAGTTCCCACAGCTTCATGTTGTATACATTCATCCCCTCCAGGATTTTATAACCAGAAAATTAAGTCTATGGTAAAGGGAGTATGCCCTGTGAAAACACATCTTTAGTTTTAAATTACATCTCCTTGTTTACAGGTTAAAAGGTATAAACACCATATTGATTAAACACTCAAAATTTGTAGCATTTTTTCCCATGGTGAAAATAGATTCCTTCTTATAGAAAAGCCTAGATCTTTCAGTAGCCAAGGTGAGGATTTTAACTTGTAATGGGGGAGAGGGTCCCCAGGTGGTTCAGGGGAACCTTTCAGATGAATCCTGGCCACCGAGGCTGACCCATGAAGGCCCAGCCTGAGGGTGCTGCTGGCCTGGCAGAACCAGGGCCACGGGGCCCCCTGACAGTTTTGGCGTCTCTGGGGTTTAGCCAGCCGGGCTGGGCTCTGTGTGGGGCTGGGGGTGAATGGAGTCAGCACATACAAGGAATGTAAGACCCCGTATTAGTCCCCCCCAAGACCTTAAATTGTTTTGCGTTCTTTGGTTTTAAGATTCAAGCATATATCGAGACATCGTTATTTTTCTTTTGCATGTCCCTTTGAAACTATTCTATTTTTCCTTCTGTGCCTTTGAAACTATTCTGTATTTTTGAAGGGTGGGGAAAAAAACTCAAAGGATAGCCAGAAAGTTCTGTTTGAATGAGTTGAATTATTTTTCATTCTCAATAATTTCTATTAGAAAGAAATGTTAGGACCTGACATTAATGGAAGTGCAATAAAGGATCTCATTTTCTTTGTATTCCACTCATCTAGCAGCTGATAAATATTTTAACTGCATCTTCCAACTATAGCATTGCATCATATTCAAGTAATTTCACTAGTTACAATAAGAATTACTTACATAAGCTTTCCATTCAGAGCATTTCAGTGGAAGGGAAATTGTCTATTTTAATCAAAGGGGGTGGGTACTAGTGCCAGAGATCTGAATTATAGTCATGCCCACCAACCCATTGAGAAAGTAGTATTATTCCTTCCAGCCAATATTTGCAGATCTGCAGGATGGGAATGGAAACCCTTCCCTGAATACCTCGGCAAATAACATATAGAACCGAGATGAATTACTTTCCAGAGAGTAGCTCCATCATCTAACTCTCAGTTATAAATAAAACATTCATTTTCCCTTAAAATTTAATCAGACAGACAGGCTGGTACAATTTGTTATCCCTGCGCTCTCTTGTCACTCCCTGATTTTGAATGTCTTCACTGAGACTGTCCCTGCCACGTGGATAGAAGGGTCCAGAACCAGCTCTCAGAGCCAGACCCTCTGTCCTCGGAGCTTCCGGAGGGTTCTGAGGAGAAGCGAGGAGATGGCTTTGGGTCAGGAAGTTGGAGATTTCTCTGGGGTGACATCTGAGTGAAGCAGTGACCTGCAGCAGGAACTCCCTGGCACAGGAGAACAGAGGGGAAAGAGGCAGAGACGCCTGTGGGAGAAGCACCCAACTGTGGCCACCTCAGAAGCCCAGCACGGGCAGTACAACGCAGGGAGCGGGGGGGGGGGGGGGGGGGGGGGGGGGGGGGGGGGGGGGGGGAGGCCAGGCAACGGACGCCAACCATCGTGTGGAGGAGACAGGGGTGTGTTACGGTGGCCGGGACTCACAGGGCATCGATTGGGGGGTGAGGAAAGATGAGAAGCCTCTATGAAGCTCTGGCCTGAGGCGGCAGGGAGGACGTGGGCGGGTGGGCAGAGACAAGTGGACAGTTCTGAAACATCACTACTGTGTTTTGGTTTAACTTCGTTTTCTGCGTTCTCCTCAGACAGATTGTGTTCATGCTGTGTGCCCTCAGCCCCTCGCCAGCTGAGTCTGGAGCTAATTCTCCCCAGTGGTTTTCCTTGCAGCAGGCCCTTCTGGATGCGACGCTAACGGGCCTCCCCGCACCTCAGAGCTCCCTGTCAGGGCGCCCCTGCTCGGCCTCGCAGGGGCTGTGGGCGCAGACCTGACAGTGAACGTTTCCCTTTCTCTCCTTCTCCTCAAGCTGAGAACCAGAGCTCAATCCAAACAACAGAAAGTCCAGGTAAGTTCCGGGTTTTTTTTTTCCTCTGAGAATATTCATGAGTCAAACCCAAGAATGAGATCAAGTAGATGCGTCCATCTGAAATCAGGCTGAAACGGTTCAAGGGAAACTTTACAATATTTAGGAAAATTAAAGTTGAAAATTAAAAAGAGCAGCTGGGGGCCCATACAGAGCCGTGCCTGAGGGAAGGGTGTGAGCCAGGTGGAGTCTCCAGCTGTCTATGGTCAGGGACACTCTCCGGGGGACAGAGCCCATGCCCTGCCCTTGCTTCCTGCCAAGACCTGGCCTGGCACCGAAAAATGACTCTATATATCCCATGGAAGCTAACAAAGATCGCTCCAGTAAATGCTCACACTTTGCCATCCTTTGGTTGTAAATGGAGTAGATTTTATACAACGTCCACGATCACGATCATCCTGTTGTTCGTCAGTTTCCTTGAGCAGCACCAGTAATGTCTCCTTCTTCCTAGCCCTGAGATTTTAAAAGAGCCATTTCAATGCTCTTTCAGGATTAGGAGATGAGACTCATCATTGTTACTGGTATTTGGCATATTGAGTACGACACGGGAAGTTTTCCAGACTCTGCCATGCGGGCAGGATACTTTTGGTAGCCAGCCAGGTTCTCCAAAGGAAATATAATAAGATGTCGCATGGCTGCAAATGCGGCCGCACACTTCCGGGAGCTGGGTTTTATAGTCTCTGCGTCTTGGCCGTTGATGGGACCAACCTGGTGCTGGCAGCAGCTGGTGGGTGTGACGCCTACCTACTGGAAGATGGAGGGTCTAGGTGGAAAAGGCCCAGTCCCAATCTGAGTAGGCTTGGAGACCTCAGCCCCGGGACCTGCATGCTGGGTTCCTCTGCCAGTTCTTTCATGCATCTTTTATACAATGTAAAGGTAAAGGTAAAGATAAAGGCCCTCCCGTTGTTCATCGATTTGCTCGAGCGGGCCCAGTAACGTCTCCATTGGAGACTTGAGTGCCTTTATACAACGTTTTTTTCATTTCATTTCATCATCCTGTTATTCGTCGATTGCCTCGAGCAGGCCCCAGTAACGTCTCTTTCATCCTTGCCCTGAGATTATATTCAAGGCTATTTAGGAGAATGAGACCCATCATTGTTACTGGTATTTGGCATATTTGGTACCCCACGGGGAGTTTGCCAGACTCTGCCCTGTGGGCAGGCTACATTCAATAGCCTGCAAGTTTGTCCAAAGTAGGTATAAGACAATAAGATGTGTCATAAAAAAAAAAAAAAAGTTCTGTTAAGATGTCGCGCGGCCGCGAATGCGGCCGCGCGGTTCCGGGTTCTGGATTTTAAAGTCTCTGAGTCTTGGCCGCTGATGGGATTACACGGCGCCAGGGGGCCAGGTGGTGGGTGTTACCCCCGCCTACTGGAATTTGGAGGATCTGGGTGGAAGATGCTCGACTCCAATTCGAGTAGGCTTGGAGGTCTCGGCCCCGGAACCCGCGTGGCTTTGTCCCTCTGCCAGTACCTTCAGGTGTGCGGAGAGTGGTCTCAGCATGGTGGTGGCTGGTCCTGGAGGTCTCCGGCTGCCGTAGCCCTGGCCGGGGCGGGGAGGAAAGCTCAACCCGCTCCCCTCCAAGGGACTCCGGGAAGGAACACCCAGGCGCGGGGGCAGAGACTGCACTGTTCTCGTCCGGGTTCTGGATTTTAAAGTCTCTGAGTCTTGGCCGCTGATGGGATTACACGGCGCCAGGGGGCCAGGTGGTGGGTGTTACCCCCGCCTACTGGAATTTGGAGGATCTGGGTGGAAGATGCTCGACTCCAATTCGAGTAGGCTTGGAGGTCTCGGCCCCGGAACCCGCGTGGCTTTGTCCCTCTGCCAGTACCTTCAGGTGTGCGGAGAGTGGTCTCAGCATGGTGGTGGCTGGTCCTGGAGGTCTCCGGCTGCCGTAGCCCTGGCCGGGGCGGGGAGGAAAGCTCAACCCGCTCCCCTCCAAGGGACTCCGGGAAGGAACACCCAGGCGCGGGGGCAGAGACTGCACTGTTCTCGTCCGGGTTCTGGATTTTAAAGTCTCTGAGTCTTGGCCGCTGATGGGATTACACGGCGCCAGGGGGCCAGGTGGTGGGTGTTACCCCCGCCTACTGGAATTTGGAGGATCTGGGTGGAAGATGCTCGACTCCAATTCGAGTAGGCTTGGAGGTCTCGGCCCCGGAACCCGCGTGGCTTTGTCCCTCTGCCAGTACCTTCAGGTGTGCGGAGAGTGGTCTCAGCATGGTGGTGGCTGGTCCTGGAGGTCTCCGGCTGCCGTAGCCCTGGCCGGGGCGGGGAGGAAAGCTCAACCCGCTCCCCTCCAAGGGACTCCGGGAAGGAACACCCAGGCGCGGGGGCAGAGACTGCACTGTTCTCGTCCGGGTTCTGGATTTTAAAGTCTCTGAGTCTTGGCCGCTGATGGGATTACACGGCGCCAGGGGGCCAGGTGGTGGGTGTTACCCCCGCCTACTGGAATTTGGAGGATCTGGGTGGAAGATGCTCGACTCCAATTCGAGTAGGCTTGGAGGTCTCGGCCCCGGAACCCGCGTGGCTTTGTCCCTCTGCCAGTACCTTCAGGTGTGCGGAGAGTGGTCTCAGCATGGTGGTGGCTGGTCCTGGAGGTCTCCGGCTGCCGTAGCCCTGGCCGGGGCGGGGAGGAAAGCTCAACCCGCTCCCCTCCAAGGGACTCCGGGAAGGAACACCCAGGCGCGGGGGCAGAGACTGCACTGTTCTCGTCCGGGTTCTGGATTTTAAAGTCTCTGAGTCTTGGCCGCTGATGGGATTACACGGCGCCAGGGGGCCAGGTGGTGGGTGTTACCCCCGCCTACTGGAATTTGGAGGATCTGGGTGGAAGATGCTCGACTCCAATTCGAGTAGGCTTGGAGGTCTCGGCCCCGGAACCCGCGTGGCTTTGTCCCTCTGCCAGTACCTTCAGGTGTGCGGAGAGTGGTCTCAGCATGGTGGTGGCTGGTCCTGGAGGTCTCCGGCTGCCGTAGCCCTGGCCGGGGCGGGGAGGAAAGCTCAACCCGCTCCCCTCCAAGGGACTCCGGGAAGGAACACCCAGGCGCGGGGGCAGAGACTGCACTGTTCTCGTCCGGGTTCTGGATTTTAAAGTCTCTGAGTCTTGGCCGCTGATGGGATTACACGGCGCCAGGGGGCCAGGTGGTGGGTGTTACCCCCGCCTACTGGAATTTGGAGGATCTGGGTGGAAGATGCTCGACTCCAATTCGAGTAGGCTTGGAGGTCTCGGCCCCGGAACCCGCGTGGCTTTGTCCCTCTGCCAGTACCTTCAGGTGTGCGGAGAGTGGTCTCAGCATGGTGGTGGCTGGTCCTGGAGGTCTCCGGCTGCCGTAGCCCTGGCCGGGGCGGGGAGGAAAGCTCAACCCGCTCCCCTCCAAGGGACTCCGGGAAGGAACACCCAGGCGCGGGGGCAGAGACTGCACTGTTCTCGTCCGGGTTCTGGATTTTAAAGTCTCTGAGTCTTGGCCGCTGATGGGATTACACGGCGCCAGGGGGCCAGGTGGTGGGTGTTACCCCCGCCTACTGGAATTTGGAGGATCTGGGTGGAAGATGCTCGACTCCAATTCGAGTAGGCTTGGAGGTCTCGGCCCCGGAACCCGCGTGGCTTTGTCCCTCTGCCAGTACCTTCAGGTGTGCGGAGAGTGGTCTCAGCATGGTGGTGGCTGGTCCTGGAGGTCTCCGGCTGCCGTAGCCCTGGCCGGGGCGGGGAGGAAAGCTCAACCCGCTCCCCTCCAAGGGACTCCGGGAAGGAACACCCAGGCGCGGGGGCAGAGACTGCACTGTTCTCGTCCGGGTTCTGGATTTTAAAGTCTCTGAGTCTTGGCCGCTGATGGGATTACACGGCGCCAGGGGGCCAGGTGGTGGGTGTTACCCCCGCCTACTGGAATTTGGAGGATCTGGGTGGAAGATGCTCGACTCCAATTCGAGTAGGCTTGGAGGTCTCGGCCCCGGAACCCGCGTGGCTTTGTCCCTCTGCCAGTACCTTCAGGTGTGCGGAGAGTGGTCTCAGCATGGTGGTGGCTGGTCCTGGAGGTCTCCGGCTGCCGTAGCCCTGGCCGGGGCGGGGAGGAAAGCTCAACCCGCTCCCCTCCAAGGGACTCCGGGAAGGAACACCCAGGCGCGGGGGCAGAGACTGCACTGTTCTCGTCCGGGTTCTGGATTTTAAAGTCTCTGAGTCTTGGCCGCTGATGGGATTACACGGCGCCAGGGGGCCAGGTGGTGGGTGTTACCCCCGCCTACTGGAATTTGGAGGATCTGGGTGGAAGATGCTCGACTCCAATTCGAGTAGGCTTGGAGGTCTCGGCCCCGGAACCCGCGTGGCTTTGTCCCTCTGCCAGTACCTTCAGGTGTGCGGAGAGTGGTCTCAGCATGGTGGTGGCTGGTCCTGGAGGTCTCCGGCTGCCGTAGCCCTGGCCGGGGCGGGGAGGAAAGCTCAACCCGCTCCCCTCCAAGGGACTCCGGGAAGGAACACCCAGGCGCGGGGGCAGAGACTGCACTGTTCTCGTCCGGGTTCTGGATTTTAAAGTCTCTGAGTCTTGGCCGCTGATGGGATTACACGGCGCCAGGGGGCCAGGTGGTGGGTGTTACCCCCGCCTACTGGAATTTGGAGGATCTGGGTGGAAGATGCTCGACTCCAATTCGAGTAGGCTTGGAGGTCTCGGCCCCGGAACCCGCGTGGCTTTGTCCCTCTGCCAGTACCTTCAGGTGTGCGGAGAGTGGTCTCAGCATGGTGGTGGCTGGTCCTGGAGGTCTCCGGCTGCCGTAGCCCTGGCCGGGGCGGGGAGGAAAGCTCAACCCGCTCCCCTCCAAGGGACTCCGGGAAGGAACACCCAGGCGCGGGGGCAGAGACTGCACTGTTCTCGTCCGGGTTCTGGATTTTAAAGTCTCTGAGTCTTGGCCGCTGATGGGATTACACGGCGCCAGGGGGCCAGGTGGTGGGTGTTACCCCCGCCTACTGGAATTTGGAGGATCTGGGTGGAAGATGC